TCGCCGCGCCGTGCCACGGCCACGCTCTTCCCCCGCGTTCCCGCGGGGACTTTGACAGCCACCGTCGCGGCGTCCACGTCCTGGCACCAAAAGTATTTTTCTGTCTCACCACCATTTCTCGTCAACCGAGCCAAGGGGTTGGTCGCTGTGCGGCTCGGTACGAGAGGTCCAGCCGTCGAGGCGCTCGTGTTCGCGCTTGGCGTGCTGTTGATTGTCACATTGCGACCAGGAATAGTCACCTGCGAGCCAGGCTCCACACGATACACCCCAGGGGCACCCCGGGTCTCCTCCTCCTCCTCACTATCGCTCAGGTCAAGGTTATCCCACTTGGAATAGTCCACCATGATGGATGATGGATGCCGGATGCGGTGCTGCGAAATCCAACCGCGGTGTCAGATGAAGAGAGAGAGAGAGAGAGAGAGAGAGAGAGAGAGAGAGAGAGAGAGAGAGAGAGAGAGAGAGAGAGAGAGAGAGAGAGAGAGAGATTGATTTAAAGAGAGAAATTTAGAGAGAGAGAAATTTAGAGAGAGAGAAATTTAGAGAGAGAGAAATTTAGAATTCAGTGTTGGCTCGTGACACACACACACACACACACACACACACACACACACACACACAGAGGGCGGGCGGGGGATGTGTTCGTGTCAGGATGGCTGAGAAAGAGTCGACCGCCGAGCCTGTGGCCAAGCGCCCGCATCAGGTTGGAAGGTCATGGCGGGTGTTGCTTGTTACAGCACACCGCTGGCGAGCTGGCTGCTTATTGGATTGGCTCGGCCGCGAATCATGCATTTGGGTTTTGTGTGTATCAGCAGGAGACCCGCCGATATGCCGTCGTCTGTAGCAGCAACCAGAACCGCAGCATGGAAACACACCTCGTCTTCCAGTGAGCTGTGCCCGCCTCCTTGCTCCGCACTCGGACCTGGCCATTGCAGCAGGGCCTCGCGCAGCCTGATTATTCATCTTTTTTTTTTAATTTCCCCCCTCACCACCAGGCGGCACGGATTCAACATTGAATCTTACGGAACAGGATCGGCCGTCAAGCTCCCTGGCCCGAGCATTGACAAGCCCAATGTCTTTGGCTTTGATGATACAACCTATGAGGACATGTACAAGCAGCTGAAGGAGCAGAATTTCGAGCTGTGAGCCCGCGCGCACGTCTCTGCTTTGCTCGCCCGCGCATCTGACAAACTTCACGTCCGAAGTGGGCATTCGCACTCGAGTTGTAGCCAGACTTCAAGCCTCACTCAAGTTAACCACCTTGGGAACTGAAACGCATGTGATAGGTACTCGGGAAATGGGGTCCTGGATATGCTGGAGCGGAATATGGCTATCAAGCCTCGCCCAGAAAAGTTTCAGCGCCAAACCAAGAAGCGCTTCGACATTATCCTGACCTGCGAGTCCCGCATCTTCGACGAAGTTCTACGCGGTGCGGCGATTCGACGCTTCATCCCTGTGACAATATCGCCTTATTTTCGCAAGGACACGCTGATGAATCGCTGTCGTACACATATCTGTAGATTTGGAAGAGCGTGATGGTGCCGAGGGCACACCCGTGCACATTATCAATCTGGACATCCCTGATAATCACAGCGCCGCCACTGTGGGGGCTTTGAACCTCTACAAACTGGCTCAAATGATGGAAGCATCGGAAGATTTGGATGACGACATTGACGACATTATCGAAACCTTCCAAAAGGAGACGGGCGAAGAGCTACTTCATGCTCTTGCCTTTTATTAGCCGTTGCAACGAGGCCGGGTGCTTTTGAAAAACGACGGGCTCTAGGCCGGGCCTTTAAAAACCGACGGACTGTAGGCCGGGTGCTTCTGAAAAACGACAGGCTCGAGCCCGGCTCTTTTGCCGGGCCAAGAGTCCTCGTCGGCAAGAGCGGATGAGAGAGAGTATGTGTGTGCGTGTGTGTGTGCGAGTTGCACAACCAATGATTGCTAGTCGGACATTGACAACGTGTTGATCGTGCCCGAGGACAGGTGTCTGTGCCATAAGCTTTTGCTTTGCGCCAAAGCTAGCCGTTGCATCCCTGATGGCCGAGCCAGTGGATGTGTGCTAGCCACTGAAAAAACCCTTCTCCTTTTTCCATGGTCTCTATAAACCCATTCCTGTCCCATCTCATGTAGTCCCACTGGACATGCAATTTCTCTTGAAACCTCGCACCTTGACCTTGTTTCGGGACCATGGATTTACCTGCTTGATGCCCCACCTGCTTGTACCATGCTGCGTTGACTTGACACATCTTGGTGAATGACCTCCCCTGAGGCAATCTTGATGCCATGATACAGAGTGGGAGTAAAGAACTAGCTGCAAAGGGATGAAAAAAGCAAAGCAAACCTGTCCTGACTAGAGCCAAGGAGCCAAGGCAAGAACTGTCGAGCAGTCAAGTCACCCAGTCCAATTCACAGCCGTGGCAGAGCAGAGTTGCGACCAAGAATGGCCGTGAGCACGCTCTCTCAGCAACAGCCATTTGACCGTTAAAACTTTTTTTTTTCATCAATGATCAAAAACGAAATTTTTTTTTTTTTTTTTCAATTTGACCGTTGATGCGCTGCGTTGAAGGTTCATGGGCCATGGGATGAAGGGGAGCAAGAGCGCCAATTGATCTGCGCCAGCGCGTTGTCTGGATGGGCGGTGACCGTGCTATAAGCAAGCATGTGGGCGGTTGAGCTGCAGGACTTTGGGCGCGCGCGCGACAAAAGCAATAAACCGCTCACGCCAATCTCGCTGCTGACCTGCGGGCTTGGCCAATCTCGAGAGCCGTGGCTCGCGGCGCTTCGCGCGAGCCACTCCATGGTCCTTTTTGAGCCCGTTCGAGCAGTGCATAACAACACCCTGTCAGATGAATGGCACGAGCACCCCGTGACAGCTAGACTCACCAATATCACCCATGCAGCTGGCCGAGGTTCGTTCTCAACGTGTACATACGGGAAAGCCACGTCCAGGCAACAGCCAAAGCTGCTGTCCCTGTCGCGTTTCGGCCAGCCCATGGTTGCCAAGCTGATAGCATGCCTGTTTCGCCCGGTGTTGCTCAGGTGCTTTTATCGTGTATCACGATGATGCTCAGAACATTGGTGTTCTGGCTCGAGCCGGCGATGCTTGCATTCATGAGCCGCAGCTCATTCGCCGCGATGCTGGTTCGTTGGTCGAGGACTTGCTTAAATGATCGCTGGCCTCGCCTCTCAATGCCAATGCTGCCCATTTGCTTGATAGGAACCGTGCGGCATATTCAGGTGGAAACCAGTGCCGAGCGCCCCACGCAGGCCACCCTCCTCTTGCTCATTGACACCACCATGGTCGTGAGCTGCAACATCGCACTTCAATCCCGCCCAAGCCTAATTGGCGAATCTGGTCAGCTCTAGCTTGTCGAAGCACCCCCTCCGCAGTCCACAGAAATGAGGCACATAGCATTGACTCCAACTCCCGGCTCTTTTTTTGGCCTGGTGTGTAGAGCTGCACGTCGTGGCCGTCAAACATCGCTCCTGGTCCCTCAGCTGGGCGCCAGCAGCAAGGGAGAATTTTGCCTTGAATTCCGTGGCCGAAACCATGTTAGCCCCAGGACACGCCGCCCAATGGCGCTTTACGCAGGTATCTATAAGCTCAGGTGCATTTGAGCTTGTCATTGTGGCTTGAATCGCTTCGCTCATGCCGCACCTGTTCTTCTCCCACCTGGTAGCGAAGCGAGCTCGTCTGCTTTTCCGTTCAAGAGCAGCAACTTGTGGTGTTTCAGAGCAACGAAATCATCGAGTCTGCCTTGCAGATCTCCATGACACCACACCAAGTCCCTTTGGACTCTAGCCTGCGGCTTGCGCACACACCTGCCTTGGCCATTGATCCTTGTGGTGAACTCGTGGCTGTCGTCATTATCGATACACAGCGAGCCGATTGCCAGCGAATCCGATGTACCAGCCTTCTCACCGGGGCAGTGCGCCTCAGTCCTGCTCTCACTCACGACACGCACCCCTCCTCTCGCAACGGAATCATCGATTTGGCTTGGACCCTTGATGGAATGCTCCTCCTTGCGGTGCGTGCTGCTCAACCTGTGCTATCAAGGCAGACTCAGTCAAGCCACCAGCCTTTCTCTTCTGGCTGAGCCACACACCCTCATAGACACAGACATATATGGGGACAAACACACGAATAGGCATGCATGCCATTGATCCTCTGAGTGCCACATGGTGCCGAGCATCTCGATTCCTTCATTGCGGTGCCATTTTGTGTTCTAGGCCTCGGTGGATGGCAATGTGGCCGTGCTATCTCGCACTGCTAGCATGTTGTTCCAGGTGATTGTGAACCAACAACGTCCCCAATCAGTGCTGGTGTCAGGTCTTCCAACTGTTCAGGCTCTGGGTCAGCTTGGGCCCGGTCACTTGGCTTTGGTCGGTCAGCACTCTCTTTGCGTCATGGCCATTGAGCCACTCATGCCCATCCATCTGGTGCAAGCAACGCCCACGGCTTTTCAGGTGGCTCACGTTGACGAGCGAGATCTTGCTCGGAACGCCGCCTTCTGCGATGCCCTTCTATCCCACCCCATCTGGCGCTACCGCCCAGAGACGCACTCCGCTCTTGCCCTGTTGTTAAGACGCATGTTGCTCCGCGACGTCCTCGCTCGGGGACTGGCAGACCTGCCCCGGGCCTTTCATCAATTGCAAGCCCACCTTGCTTCAACTGATACGCGACAAATGGCTGTCCCAGTTGCAGCACTAGGCTCACTGGCCGAGGATCGCATTCTCCTTCAACGAATTGGCCGACTACGCACCGCGGCTGACGATGGCCAGTCCGTTTTGCTCTGCACCCAAGAGTTGCTGACTATACTGGCGGCGCAGGCGGAGGAACACGGCATTTTTCTGGACCTTGAGCACGACACTTTCATGCCGGCCAGTGCCGCTTTGGACTGGCTACTGCATCATGTAGGTCAACACTGGGAGGAGCAGCTGCTTGCCATTGTTCTCAAGGTCCTCAATGCTGTGTACCGCGCCTGCCTGTGGTCCCCGAGCACCCTGCAAAGTGGGGCCTGCGCCGAGGATGTCTGGGCTTGGCTATGCCGCCACGACGGTGAATTGGCTCTGGAATACATGTACAAACTTGAACTTCAGTCACATTCTCGAGTTCCAAGAGTGCGACGCCGGCCACTGTGGCCACGCAGCTGGGCCACGCTGTGCCTGCACCACTCGTCCATTCGCGTCTTGCAGCACGCCCTAGCCGATTCGCGTCCTCCCGAAATGGTGCACGTGCACTTCCCAGATTTACTGCGCTGCCAGCTCACGCAGGGTGTTGGTCCGACCCTGCGAGACATGCTGGCCGCGCGTGGCGGACCCAAGCGCACGACTCCCGACGAGCACGGGTTGTGGTTCCTCCTTCAACTTGGTGCTGCACTGCATGTCTTGGACTTTCGACACGCGCTAGCTTTAGTGGATGGAGTGCGCCGCTTCCAATTCAGCCCCTCGCTGTGGTGGGCTGAAGACTTGCAGCAGCGCGAGTCTCAGCTTGATATGGTGCAGCGTGTGCGAACTTGGCAGCTCAAGCACGAGACAGGCCATGGGCTACGAGCCGAGGCCTTGCCCATGCCGCTAGCACAGCGTGGCGTTCTTTGGCTTGCCTTACTTTTTGACGCCATCTATACTGCCCAGACGTTGCAAGTTCCGCATTTGGCTCCCCTGCATGCGCACCACAACCTGCAACTGGAGAAGGCAGGTGTGAACGCAGTCTTGGAGGCTGCACGCGGTGACCTTGCACAAGGGCGCGAGCTTCGACGTGTGCAGGTCATTCGGGCTCTTCAAAAGCAAGCTTCGGATGCCTTTGGGCTCGACCGCGCGCACATGATGGCGCTTGACCTGTATCTGCTCGCTGGTACGCCACTCAGGCTTGCTGGGCTGAAAGTGCACGTGTCCGTTGCCACTGCAAGCATTGTGGCCACTCGTCTAGGCGTCGCAAAACCTGTGCCTTGTTTTTCTTCCTTTTTTTTTTTTTTTTTAATTTGTCCGACACGTTTGTTGCTTCTTCTGCCCTCCTTTCCCAAGGTGCCTATGAGCAAGCTGTGTCTTATCTGCTACGCTTGGGTGACTGGAAGACGGCCCTCGTACTGGCTCGCGTGGAGGCAAATCGCATTTCTGCAAAGGACTGCAAACCAAGCTTTATCCTCGAGCAAACTCTTGCTCAGAACTTGCCTGAACTTGTCGGCTACCACCAGGTATATCTTCACAGCTCTCGTGCAGGTTGTAGCTGTACATTCACTCATCTATTTTTGCTATGGACTCGAATGGCCATAGAGCACCATTGCTCGGCGAGTGAGCATGGCAGCCAAACTCAGCGGCATCGTGAGCCCGGTCGCACAATACCTGGACCGCCTGCTGCGTCATGGTTCGCACCTGCTGCGTGCTCACCTACAGCCTGAGCAAGCTCATGCCCAGAGCGTGAAGAAATCCACGCCAATTTACCTGCCCCAGAGTGAGGATGAGGAACGCGCTTGGCGCGCGACCCTCCGCCGCGTGATATCAGACGTTTGTGGTGTGCTTCGGGATCTTGGCCTCTTGTCTGATCGCTCAGGAGATCAGCTCAATGACAGTGTTCATATGGAACCGGATGCCACCATGAACGTGAGCAATCAGCAAGTGCCGGTCTCTTGGCATGCCCTGCGAGACAATACCTTACAAAGGTCCGTGGGCTCACGCGCAAGTCCGATTCGATTGGGCACGTTGCCGTCTATGAAGGCAGCTTGAAAAGCCACAACGCAAGGGGTTTGGGCTGCGAATACGGCTGTCTTCTCAGCCATCATGTCTTTCTTTTTTGCTCCCATCCCTCCCGAACTCCCTCCTCCTTCTCCTAGGCTTAGTCAGCTGTGCTATGCTACGCACCTCCGTGATGAAATTGAGCATGCAGCGCAGACGGGAGCACCTGATTTGCTTTGCACCTACCTTAGCTACGCTTGTGATACCAGTGCGTCCTGTCAGGCCCGATGCCTCATGTTCGTTTTGGTGCGATCACAAATTTTTATTTCTTTGACCGTATTGCATGTGTGTTGTTTGCTTATTTTGGCTAGATACCGCCTTGCCTTGGTCGCAAGCTGAGGCGCGGCGCTTGGCTTTCCGCCTCGACCCTCGCTTCGTGCGCTGCGAGGTGAATGCTCGAGGGCATCTTCGAGATTTCAGTGCCGTCTGCCTCAACGTCCTCACTGCTGAAGCTGACGAGCAGGTGCTTGGGTTTTATCGCGCCATCTCTGGCCTGGCCGAGCGCTATCGGCGCTTGGTTCCCGAAGATATACTGACGCTACAAATGCATCATTGGCTTAACTACGATCCCTTTGCGCTGGGTGAGACAAGCTCACTGGGTTCCATCCAAGTGCGCTGCGGGGTGCCACTATTATGGCTTTCCAAGCGCACCCCTGCTGGCGTAGACTTGGACGAGGTTACTGAGCTGGGAGCTTGGACACCGTCTGCAACAATGGCCACGGCCATGCAGCAGTCGGGGCTAACTGTCGCATCTCCACTCACGCAAGCCAACACCACATCCCTTCAAGGGATCCATCCACTGAATAGTGCCCCAGCCATCAGTGGCAACCCAGTTGGACCTATCCCTTCACCACAACCGTCAGCGTTTCAAGCCACCACGCATGCCACTACGCGAGGAAGTGGCCATCCCGCAGATCTCGATGCTTCCTGGCTTCCTGACGACAGCCAAGCAAATGCTCGGGACCAGCCATCAGCGAGCACCCCCAAGAAAAGCTCGCGTCCACACCATGAGCAGCATGCAGACCATCCTTCGCGGCAAAACGTTACGCCCATGACGCCAATCATTGATGAGACTCAGGAAAGTGCCGCCAGTCGAACTGGTGCGAAACGGGAAGGGCCCACTCTACGGGACATGGACGTGCCGGGAGAGCGGTCAAGCGGCAACAACGAAGAGGGCACGGCAGGGAATTTGGTGGACATTAGCTCTAGCTTGAGCTTGAGCCTGTCCGAGGCCAGCATTTCAGCGTCTGGGAGTCAGCGCATCCGAGACCAGAGCCTGCGTGTCTTGACTGCTCACACCCCACTGCATGCCGACGCCGAGACAAGCCTTATGTCACAAGGCGAGTCTTTCGTAATGGCTGGGCCAGCAGCCTTGCATGCCTTCTCAGGGCACGGGTCTGGCCCAACTCTTGGTGCTGGCCAGAAGCTGGAACAACATGACACAGAAGCTGAGAGCTTGATTTCAGCACCCGAGTCTCAAAGCTCAACTCTAGTTGGAACTTTGGCGGCGTCCCCGTCAACTTCATCATCCACGTCTCCAATCATCGAGTCGATAGGGGCTGAAACCGACATATCACAGCCCGATAGCGCACCAGCCATTCGCGTTGAAGTTCGACCCACACCTTCGACACAAACGCAGCCCTCGCAGCTTGTGCCGAAAGGCCGTGACGACCGGGCCATCCGTTCTGAAGGAAGCGGCCGTGTGGAGGATGGGGCACGCGACGAAAGCTTCCGAGACGTTCTCTTGGATCGCAGTCGAGGGGATGGCGATGTGGATTCCAGCCTCTTGTCGGTGACATTGACCAGCATTTCGACCCGCAGCGAAGATGAGCTCGAACCCGCTCGGCACGCTAGTCAGCAGCAACAGCAACAGCAACAGCAACAGCAACAGCAACAGCAACAGCAACAGCAACAGCAACAGCAACAGCAACAGCAACAGCAACAGCAACAGCAACAGCAACAGCAACAGCAACAGCAACAGCAACAGCAACAGCAACAGCAACAGCAACAGCAACAACAGCTGAGCGATGCAGGTACTTCATCCGTCAGCCGCATCGCTGATAAGGCCAAGGCAACAGAAAGGGTGCAGCACGATTTGCCACCAGCTGTCACGCTTAATGTCTTGGGTCAAGCTGATGAGACAGCTCGGTCATCGTCCGCATCCACGCGAGTGGGGGACGCGCTGGTAGCACATGCAAGCCGGGCGCCTGCCTCCAGGTCACGCTCGCCTTCTCAAGGCTCTCGCACTTCACGATCCCCGTCCCCGATATCCGTTATCAGTGACGTGACGATGCCAGATATGGAGACTCCTCCGGCCTCCGGCACCCACTCAGAGACAGCAGAGCAGGGGCCGGTCGCAGAGGTGCCTCTGGTGGCTGGCCCCTCTGGGGATAGGTCAGGCCTTTGTTCACATCATGGCGGACCAGATTCCAAGCTTATGGTTGCATCTGAAGCCGTGACAGGAGCTCCTCGCGCAGCGGATGGAGTGCGCTCAGGTGATTTGCTTCGCCAAGAGAAGGCGAGCCACTTGGTCTCTGCGCAACCAGCAAGCACTGTGACCGTACAAGATGGACAGTCTGCACAGTCTACTACCGACGGCAACGCTGGAGCCGACGCCCAACCTCGCCTGTGTGAAGATGGTGAGTCGAGCAGTACGCACTCACTGGGTGCATTGTCTGGTTCTAGGCCAGCCGCCGAGCTGAACAGTCTGCCAATCAACGATCTGGGGTCGAATCCCGATCGGGGTGTATTTGCCAGGCCTGCGTCCAACTCGGAGAAAGGAGATATGCTCCGAGAGGAGATGCCAGTCGAACAGCAGAAAGGCGACTTGTCGGATCGAAGAACCGGGCCAGCATCTACCCTTTCCGCAGGTCAAGCGGCAGGGAACTTAGCTGCCGCTGCTGCTGCTGCTGCTGTTGCACGACGACTGGATCTCGGAGCCGCGCGGAACGAATCGCAGCCTTACTCACATCAAGTGGAAAACAGGCGTGCAGAGTTCCTGGATGCTGCTGAGCAACCTTCTTCAGACCGGTCACGCGCAGCGCGTGAGGGAGAGCAGAGCAAGCTCGGCTCTGATCCTTTTAAGCAAGTGCATTCGCCGCCCAATGGTGCGAAGCGAGCGTCGTTAGCGACTGAGACGCCTGACTTGACGGACCGCTCCACGACCCGGGTCGGGCGGCATCAATCCTTCAAGGAGCCGCGTGACGGGGCCAACGGTGCACCACACAGTGGGCTGCAGAGGTTCAGCAGCTCTCATGTGGACCAATCCACCGTTGAAGACCTGGGTGGACATCACCTTCTTACAGTGAGTCCATTGGGCCACCCTGCGAGTGCGCCGTCAGCTCATGCTTCTTTTAACAGTTTGATGGAGGGCCCATCTCAAGGAGTGTCGCCCGCCGCCATTACTGTCAATGATCGGCCCTCGGTCGTGGCGAGGAAGCCACACTCTGCGTCAACACAATCAGCACATGCATCGAGCCGTTCCGAGGGGTTTGTCGGGCCAGGCTTGCTTCGGCTACAGGGCTCGACACCACGCAAGCAGGATCCTGTGCTCAAGCCATCGTCCGGGTGCTTGCGCTTGAAGACTCCCGCCAGCGGACCCACCAGTTCTTTTCTTCGACTGCAGAAATCAACAGCGGGGGCGCAAGGGGGTACGACGACGACACCATCGTTTTTGCGATTAGCGACCACGTCGCGACCGTCAACCGAGGCCGCATCACCGCCGCACACGTTTGCTCACGGCACACATTCGCTTTTATCAGACAACAAGAGCTTTGCGTCTCCTCAAAGTTTGGCAGTGCCTCCGCGTACCCCAATGAGTGCCATGCTGCGCGACACGCCGGCACGAGTCCGTCGACGCATGGGCCGGCATAAGAGCGTCGGCTTTGATGTTCCTCCTGTGCATACACCACAACGATCGAAGCAGCCCGTGCCTGTCACGCCTGGGTTTGCATTACCTGCCCAATCAGGCAAGCGCTTTTTTACCAGCGATGCAGCGTCCGATGACGAGACGGACGATGCGTCAGATGATGGAGCAGAAGATCGGCAGCCGCTGTTCGCTGTACCGCGTTCGGTCACCACGCAGACACCTCGGCTTCCTGAAGGCCTTTTGCGTTGGAATCTCATTGAGCAAGGCACCCAGACTTTGGTCGAGCGCCATGCGGCCAAGACACAAACCGTTGATGCAGCCGTGCCCCCGTTACGAAGCGAAATTGTATCCGTTGGCGCCAACCCTTCACGCGCGCATGAATCCGCGCGAGCAACGCACTCTATCGAGGGCCTTCCAGATGATTCCTCAACCATAGAGGGGCCGCGCAAGCGCTATGTGGATTTAGATACAGTGCGGGTCCTGCACCACTCGCCGGCGAGCTCGAAAGCCCCATCACCTCCATCATCCTCCGCTGTGGTGGACGACGACATGGCAGAGAGGCACGCGCCCGTCGAGACGCGGGCAGCACGCCATGGCCCAGGGTTGGGGCCCGTGGTCTCACACGAGCGATCCACTTTGGCGTTTGATCCAAGCATGCTGGTTGGTCTGCACGCGGAGGGGCACTTGGGGCGTTATTTATACACGAGCCCACTGCAGGAAGCCGTTGAGGCAGGCGAGGGCGCGGCCTGGCCAGTTTTGCCCGAGGGTGCAGCCACCAGCTTTGCCGACCAAATAACCAACACTCGGCGACCTCGAGTTTTGAAAGATACTCCGCGGGGTGTGCCAGTCTCGTCAAGCGCTGTTTCATTGCCTCGTGTGGCTGTGGAGGAGCCTCAGCCGGCAGCTGTGGTTATCCAGTCTTCCCGCGATCCAGAGGCATCGGCTGGGCGCTATTTGCACCGGTAGGTTTGTAATCTGGGCTGGGGAGATAAAGTGACGACTGTTTCTGCATGCTTGGGCGCTGCTGGCTCTTTCAACTTATGAAGCAACGTGGGAACTGGCGGTACTCCTCTAGGTTGCGGGAAATGAAGCGCGGGCATCAGTTGCAAAAGGTTTGTGCTTGCGCTTCTCGTGGTTGGCTGTAGTACTTTTTGTGCAGCGCCTTGAGTGACATGCTGATGGTTACCTTGTGCTTTGGTGCCACCTGCTTGCCTTTTTATGAATTGGCTGCTGCTTGCGTCAGATGGAGTTGGATTTGTCAAGCATGGATGAACGGCTTGACGCTGTGCAGGTATGTGAGCAACCTGACACTGTTCTAGCTCAAGTCAGGCGTCAATTTTGGCTTACACGACCTTTTTCGTTGTCTCTTCCTCTGACGGCCGCAATGGGAATGCAGCACATTCTTGCGTCTGGAACGGCCCCAGACGTGGGCTTGGAAAGTCCTTAAGGTCGGCGTTGCGTGTCATTCCGTCATGTAGTCCAAGGTGGCCGAGCCACGCGCAGTATTAAAAAGGCAACCGCACTATGGTTGCATGTCGCATTATTTTCTTATATCCATATAACAAGTATTAGAACGTTAGTCAGGCCAAGGACAGTGTTGTCCTTGGCCTTGAACACCCACTAATTGATCTCCTTTTCTTGTTCTTGCCCTCTTCGCCTACGAATGGCTTGTCAAGACCCGAGCTGAGCGCGGCGAGCTCGGGGTTGACATGAATCCGAAGATTGTAAGTGTTTCACTTCTCAAAAGTCAGATTTTTTAGTGACCGTTGCTTTTTTTCCGGATCATGTTATGGCGAGCGAGCGAGCTGGACGGACGGCAGCGGGTGATGGTTGTGAGCTGGTGCTGTAATGGCGTCCACAGGGTTCAACGAGGCGGGGGCGGATGCGGTGATGCGCAAGTATCCAATGCTGCTCAACTTTAAGGATGCCTCTCAAGCACGGTGCGAGGGTGGAGGGAAATGATTGCCACTGTATTCACATCCTCGTCACACCGTCGTGTCGCGGCTTGGTCTTACATGGGCGTGCCGTGCACAGCTATGCGGGTCTCCTGGAAGTGCAGCGGGAGCGTTGGCAGATTGGTCTGACCTGGCCACATCCTCCCACGGAACCAGTACGGCGACGATTCGAATGCGATGCCCTTTTGGAGGAACTGCTTCAGCCATGCTGGGATCACGTCCAGCTGGCCCTCGTCCAGACCGCCACACCTGTCCACTTTCTGGATGCCCTGGCGGACATGGTGACGAAGCAGCTGCAGGTGAAGGCAGCGCACACGTGCAGAGAATATCAGGGATGTTGGTAGTCTCAAGAGAGGCGAGTCCCAAGTATCTCACATGATACTTGTCTGGTCGGCACGGGTCTGCAGGGGCATGGTCCCAAGTGTTTACCCAGCGACGTTATTGATCAACTCTTGGAACAGCTCTGTGCGGTGCCGCAAGAGGACTTGCATGCCATCAGTGATGACTTTACGTTGGTGCAGGTACGCGTTCTCCATCCTTTGATTAGGGGGACTTTTGCGCTTTGCCCCATGCATGAAGCCACGGAACATAACTTTATCCCACTTACTTATGGTTGGATGTCGATTGCGCGCACAGTTTGAGAGCGGCGGTCATCCTTGGAGCCTACGCATCGGCGCGAATTTTCCCGCAGAGGCACCCCGCCTGACTCATACCTTGCCTGTGGAGTGGTCGCCGACGTACGTTCCTTACCGCCATGTCTGAGTACATGGATATTATTTGTTGTGCACCGGACGTGCGTTCAAGGTGTTGACTTGTGACGTGCTTGTGCAGATGGACCCCGGATACACGGTTGCAGCATGTCGTGTCACAAATGGCGGAGCAGCTGAAGCAAGCCGAGCCGCTTTGGGCAGCCACTCGGGCGCTCTATGAGCGCTTTGACGTCCTCAACCCTCGCGCATGGGCACCTGCGTACGAAATTTGGCCGAGACTAACGTGTGCAAGGGAAAGCAGTGAATTGTTCGCCTGAAGCTCAAGCAGACCATGTCTTTTTCCTCTCTGTTAGGGCGCTGACCTTTCGGCTAGCCACAACGGTGTCAGGGGTGGTCGTGGACGTCACTGTTGATGCACGGGGCAGCCAAATGCTACCAGACGTCCATGTGCTAGGACCTGATACTCGCAGTGACCCATTGCGAGACCAATGGCAGCGGTATGTCGAGTTCAACATCACATGTCTGGCAAAAGGCGGCTGTTTCCAGTACACTTGTTTACGCGGGATCGCCGGCTGTGCGGAAGGCCGGAAGGTAGCGAAAGGGTTTGTGGATGGGAGAGCGGATCAGGCTCATGCCTATATTTGCTTCAACTGCGTGCGATGCCTGAGGTAGATATGCAGCCGGGGGAACTGACAGGCCGGATGCGACGTTGGCAGACCATTTGCAGCAAGCCCTGGGATCAGCGTTGGCGGGCCCGACGGGTCAACAGGCCACGCATGAGGTGGTCAGTCGTCTCAGCAGGCTTTTGATTTCAGCTGCATCCACCGTTCGAGCGTGCGCTAGACAGGCGATGGTCTTTCCATGGCGCTGGTCGTCTCTTTCTCAATAGTTGTTGTCAATGGGTGTATGCGTGTTAGGCTGTGGAGAAGACTGATTGTGGCATTTGCTACAGCATGGAATTGGAAGATGAGCTCCCGTCGGAGGTGCGGATCAATTGCTAGTCGAAGAGGGTGGGGCTTGGATGGGGATGGACGTGCATACGCGGTGCTCACGGGTTCCTCACGGGTTCTCTTTGGTGTATAGACTTGTCACAATGCACAGTGTGGACGGTCCTATCATGCCAGCTGCCTGCTGGCATGGTTGCAAGCGCTTCCCACCACCCGAAAGTCGTTTGATAGCCTGTTTGGGCAATGTCCTTTTTGCCAAGCGCCCATGACGCTTGCCCTAACCAGTCGCTGAAGCTTGCGCTAGCGCGAAGACCACGAGGTCTCGGCCAGCGCGTTCGGATACGCCCTAAGCAACGTAATTGAAGTGTAAAACGGTTCGAAGCTGGGCCGGCCTTACCAGCCACATCGCACAAATTATTACGCCATGCCATCAGAAGCATGGTCCTCTCGTTGGTCGTTTCCCTCCATCAACCCCAACGCCTCTCCTTTGCCTTCCTTGCTTCGACAACTCCTACGTTGCTTCCTCCCTCTTGAGACACCCGTGTCGTTTCAAAGCAGCACCCCCGCCCCGCCAGCGCCGTATGCCGTTTTGGTTTGATCCGAATCACGCAAAGTCTAACTTTATTCACATTTCCGCTTGTTGAGCTTATTTTTTTTTCCGGATCGGGTGATGCACGGAGGGTGGTGGTCAGGTGTGTGGATGCCGTGGGCTCTTTGGCACGAGGGGTGACTATCACTAGCCAAGGCACCGAGTGTACTGAGTGTACTGAGACTGGACACTTGGTGTTTGGTGCAGGAGAAGAGAAGGGCAGCATGTCAATGGGACGTCGTCGCGCCGCGGCAACAACGGCGGCTGAGCGGTTTTGCCGGGCAGTGTTTTTCGGAGAGGGCTTGCTTCTATGGGTGTCTGGCATCCTGATGCTATGGCAGCCCGAGTTTGTGATGCGGCAACAGGGTTTCGCCCCTCGTGATTATGATCACGCCGTCTCGCAAGGCAATTTGCAGCAGTTTGGCGCCATGTGTTGCTTGATGGGCTACATTGGCACCTTTGCCGAGATTTCTCCTCACATTGCTCAGGCATGCCTCTTGGGCGATATCCTGTGGATGCTTCCGTTTCTCCGATTGGTACGTTTTCCGCTCGCAAGATGGTTTGAGGTGCCCGCTCGGCTCGATGGTAATATAAACTCGGGTGCTAGTCTCACACACACACACACGCTTCGGACGGTGTCCAACATGGCGCTGTGCTGCTCGTATTGCACATGACTGGTTGAAAAAATCGTGCGGTGCGCCTGGCCATCAGGTTTTGGCTCACGGCGAGCTGTGGACCCTCGGCACCCAGTTCTCCATCTGGAGCGTCGTCTTCTTGGCCAGCGTGCGCATTATCTTTATTCTTACCCAGCGCGTCCAGACGAAGCAGATCAAGCAGTACTAACTGATTGTTGCCACCATTTCCCGCCATCGTGCATGGCTGCTCCATGAGGCACGCGAGGCTGTGCCTCACCTACCAGCGATCTCCTCTGTGATGCGGTGAATGCCAGCCTTTATTCTTTTTTTTAATTTTTTCCGTCTCTCCGGCGCATGTTTTGTGGAGGCGTCTGGATTGATGGCTGGCTGGTCGATCATGTGCCATTGTGACTGTTTCAGTAGCATTGCCGCATCTTGTTTGTGCCGGTGCCGGTTGGCCTCCTCTTGACAGTACTATGATGACCGCCAACTCCGATGACTGGTGCGACTTTTACAAATGAGAAGCAGATGATAATTATTCTTTTCTTGTTGTTTCCTTTTGGCGCTCGTGCGCAGGCCGCGCCCTGTTGCGTCTATGGCTGTTGCGTCTATGATTGTTGCACAGGGGGGGGTTTGGGAGGCCCGGAGTCCCTCTGGGGGGCGCGAGAGCCTTTGGTGCTATTCGTGTCTAACCCCGTTTCATGGGGAGCGGAATTGACGACCGTTTTATTCATGATCTTGGACCGGGAGCGATGAACGTGACTGTTCCCGCTGCATCTGCAGTCGCCTGACTTGACAAGTCATGCTTCCAGGGGACCGACAGGGTGTCAATGTCCAAAACACCAAGCGCCAGCGAGGGATCAAATGATGCCGAGGGATCGGGGGGGGGCAGCTTGTGAGAGTCGACCGGCACTTGCCAAGCGCTTGCCATAGCTCAGCCAAGCACCACCGCCTTTGATCATAATGACGCGAGCATCCATCCCAAGTACTACCAAGTGTTTACCAAATGTATACCCTTGGACTCCCAAGCGTTTCCCACATAGACCTCATGATGATGCGAATGGTCATGGCGACGGCAAACAGTCATTCTGTCAAAGATGAGGATGGAAAATCAAGGCTAACGGTGTTTGATTCTTGATTCCGCGTTTGTGTTGACAAAATGTAGACCAAAGCACCCGACAACACGACAGCACTACGCAGAAGCTCTTTTCGATACACTTTGCACGTGCATAACACTCATAGCAGTGTGTGTGTGCGAGCGCATCATCTGTCGGGATCACCATCATGATGATGTTGACTTGATCTCTTGGCATCATCTGGTGTCCCCTCAAGTGTCCTCCTTTCATCCCAGCCCTTCTCGCTCTCTCTCGTTCTCGTCCACGCCTGCGCCTGCTCGTTCTTGCACTTCTTGCCACGGTTGGCGCTTCTGCTTGTGCCTTCTGTTATGGTCTTACGGGCACAGACCCCACTCACTGAATTCATGAGTGCGGCTGGGCTTGAATCGAGTACAAGTGGGGCAGCGGGCCCCTGGTTGAGCATTTTTCACCAGCCTCTTCAGTCAACCAAGAGCAATCTTCCAGCTTGTCTTCAGCTGCCACTACAACTTGCCTTTTAGGGATCACATCTCTTCACCACCAGCAACACCAGCGACATGTCGTTTGTGGCCATTGTCGGTACCTCGGGCTACGTGGGTCAGGCCACGGTGCAGGCCTTTGCCAAATCTTTCCCCAAGATCAAGGTCAAGGCCGGCGTGCGCGACCCAAGCGCCGAGAAGGCCCAGCCCCTCAAGGCCGGTGACAACATCGAGCTCACCAAGATTGACATGAACGATGCCGAGAACATGAAGGCCGAGTTCAAGGGTGCCGATGCCGTCTACATCATTACCCCCGGCCATATCGACCGCACCAAGATTACGATTGGTGCCATTGATGCTGCCAAGGCTGCTGGCGCCAAGTACATTGCCATCGTCTCCTTCCCCACGGCTTACTCGGACTCGTGCTTTGGCAAGCAGATTGGCCCCGTCGAGGACCACCTCAAGGCCAGCGGCGTCACGTACGCCATCCTCCGCCTGCCCATGTTCATTGACAACTTCTGGGGTCTGGCCGCCGGTATCAAGGGCGACAACAAAATTTACGCCCCCGTCAAGCCCGAGGCGGCCTACTGCCCCATCTCGGTTGAGGACATTGGTCTGGCCAGTGCCACCATCCTCGCCCACCCCAAGAAGCACAAGAACAAGACCTACACTCTGACCACCCCCAAGAACATCGCTCATGCCGACATTGCCAAGGTCTTCAGTGAGGTGCTGGGCCGCCAGATCGACTATGTGCAGGTTCCCTACGAGGCTGCCAAAAAGGCCTTTATGGATCTGGGCGTGCCCGAGTGGCAGGCAGATGGCGTGATGGAGCTGTACAAGTACGTCGATTCCGGTGACAAGATGGTCACTACCCCAACCAAGGACTTTAAGAAGATCGTCGGTAAGGAGGCCAAGGGCTTTAAGCAATGGCTCGAGCCCGTCAAGGGTGCCTTTTAAAGCTGGCAGGCCCTTAGGATGGATCGGTGATGTGGTTGCGAGAAGCGCTGAGCGCCGAGCGTCTGACGGGGCTTCTTGCCGCTGACCCGCCCCCTTGTTCTTCTTGTCTCTTTATGTGAATTTGTTTGTTACCCATCCCAATCGAGCAGTGTTATCTGATTGAGCCTGGCAGCCAGAGTCATGGGAATAAATCCAAAAGATCCCACGCACTCCCCCTGATTCACACACACGCGCGCACACATCCAAGTTCGTGTTGAGTCGCACCAGCCTCACCCAACAAGTAGCTCTGCCAAGACGTGCTCCTCCCCACAACACAATCTCATGATGACGACATCACTGGTTGGTGCACATGGTTGATCATACAGAGAGAGAAGGAGAGAGAAAAGAGAGAAAAAGGTCGGTTTGAGAAAGAGAAAAATATAGAGCAAAGACACAAAGAGAGAGAGAGAGAGAGAGAGAGAAAGAGAGAGAAGAGAGAGAGAGAGAGAGAGAGAGAGAGAGAGAGAGAGAGAGAGAGAGAGAGAGAGAGAGAGAGAGAGAGAGAGAGAGAGAGAGAGAGAGAGAGAGAGAGAGAGAGAGAGAAATGAATTGGTAAAGATACAAAGAGAGAAAAGGAGAGAGAGAAAGAGAGAGAGAGAGTAAGAGAGAATTGGTTAGAGAGAAAAACATCAAGGGAGATGTGCATTTTTCTTCATCTTCAAGGTCAGTGAACACACTGCACACATGCGCCGTTGCTGTTGGTTGGAGCCTTTTGTTGTGGGAATGGCAGTGGGAGCTGTTCCGGAGCTTGTTGTTCGGTTCCTGCTGGTATCATGGGTTGATGGTGCGCCGTTCTCTTACCATGGGTTGTGTGCGGGGCTGTGGCGTAGTGAGTGGCTTCTTCCCCTCTCTCTGTTCAATCACAAAGACCAGTCATCATGACCACTGTCGCCACCGTTGGTACCTCCGGCTACGTTGGCCAGTAAGCAGACGCCTTGGCTGTCCTTGCTCGTCCACTGACGGCTACAAACCATGCATTCTAATACAACCATATCTCCCTTCGTGAATGGGCGTGTCTGCACCCGCTTGCAGGGCCACTGTGCAGGCCTTGGCCAAGGCCTTCCCCAACGTCACGGTCAAGGCCGGTGTCCGCGACCCGACCGCCGACAAGGCCCAGGCCCTCAAGGCCGGTGACAACATCAAGCTCACCAAGATTGACATGAACGATGCCGAGAACATGAAGGCCGAGTTCAAGGGCGTTGATGCCGTCTACGTCATTACCCCCGGCCATATCGACCGCGCCAAGCTGACCAACAACGCCGTTGATGCTGCCAAGGCTGCCGGCGCCAAGTTCGTGATGGTCGTCTCGGTCCCCACCGCCTACACCGACTCATGCTTTGGCCGTCAGTGCGGCGAGATTGAGGATCATGTCAAGGCCGCTGGTATCCCCTACTGCATCCTCCGCCTGCCCATGTTCATTGACAACTACTGGGGTCTCCAGCAGGGCATCAAGAACGACAGCAACATTTACAGCCCCACCAAGCCCGAGGCGGCATACACCCCCATTGCAGTCGAGGATGTCGGTCTGGCCAGCGCCACCATCCTTGCCCACTCCGAGAAGCACCACAATACCAAGTACACCCTCTCCTCCAAGTCCATCGACCACACCACCATTGCCCAGGTCTTTAGCGAGGTTTTGGGCCGCAAGATCAACTACGTCCAGGTTCCCTACGAGGCTGCCAAGCAGGCTTTCATGGGTCTGGGCATGCCCGAGTGGCAGACTGACGGTGTCCTCGAGCTCTACCGCTACGTCGATGCCGGCAGCAAGATGGTCAACACCGCAACCGATGACTTCAAGACCATCACCGGTCAGGAGCCCAAGAGCTTCAAGGAGTGGCTGCAGCCCGTCAAGGAGGCCTTTTAAGAGCCCGGTCACCACTCGCCGCCTCTTTGTGTGCGCACCCACGTGTGCAGGTTTTAGGATTTTTTCTGTAGCCCGGCGTCCACCCTGAGTTGCCCAAAGCTGAACACTTGCACACACTTCAATTGAGCCATGTGTGCATCATCGTCTGTGAAAATATAGCCGAGATGTGTCTGAGCATCCAATTGTAACGCATTTCATTATCTCTAGCTATTACTCTCTGTGCGTGCCCCACCCTCTTGACAAAGACGGCGCCGCTAGTCAAGTACATCATCCTCTGGTCAATAAAACGCCGGCAACCGACGCTTCGCTGCCAATATGGCGCAAACCATTGAAGGCAGAAAAAAAAGCAAAAAAGAAAAAAAGCAAAAGCAAGCCAAATCAAGCAACAAAAATGAGACGAGGCGCCAGTCCACCCCGCTTCAACAACAGCCAAAAAAAGGACTTGGGCATGAGAAACAACTCACGGTCTTCAATCCGACAGGCGTCCAAACGGAAAGAAAACAAAAGACAACCAAAATTTCCAAAGACATGGTCATGGATCGACAAAAGTTTCATCATAACGGGGCGGTCTCCCTCTGTGTTTTACACGATAGAGATGCGCCGCGCCGCCGTGCGTGTTTCGCGGATAGCACCCGAAGACAAAGCTGGCCCTCCCGCTGTTTGCAATGCCCTAAGAAAAAAAATAAAATTACAAAACAAAACAAAAAAACACCAACAATAAACCAGTACACGGGAACACAAGTCAGGCTTGCCTGGCCTCGCTCAAGCGTTAGACAATCGAGAGGAGTGGCAAGGAGTAGGGATCCGCCCAGCACGTACCAGCGCAGCTGGCTTGCCTCCATTGGGCTCAACATTTCCAGCTGTGACTCAAAATCGAAGCCCGTTCGCTACAGAGTATAGTTTTCAGGTGAGCGGGTGGAAAAACAAACCACCAACCAAACACAGAAATGCAAAAACAAACAAACAAACAAAAATGCAAAATAGGCAAACTACCTGACTCAGATAAGCAGCCTCCAGTGCAAGAGACATGTGCATGGTGTAATCCTTGGCCAATTTCAAAAGGGCGGCATCGTGTTTCTCCTCCTCGTCCCACGAGTCCCACCCATCACTTTCATCGTTGTCGCCTAAACATACACACGCCAGTTCACCGTGACCACCGACCAGGGACGCGTTGGATGCATGCGCACACGCCAGCTATCTTCTTACCCATGCCGCTGCGGTTCAACGAGCTTTGCAAAGCATCATCGTCCGAGTCTACACAAACAAGCCATAGCATTCCAAAATGCCGCTCGTCAGCGCCGTTCTACCCCATGGCCTTGGCGAATCTGCCACTCCGGGCTGCGAGGGATTTGCGGCAACAGCGGCGATAAGAGATACAACATACCAGAGTCGTCATCGCTTTCGGTGACAGTCGGTAGCGACACGTCAAGACCCGCCCCCGATACGGCAATTTCGCTCAAGCGTGCACCCAGGGTTTGCACCCGCACTTCACGCTCAGAGGGGCGATTGCGTCGCACCAAGTTGGCCAGAAACTGCAGGAGTTCAAGCGAAAAGTCCTCATTGCAGTCGATGAGGATGCACAACAACGCCAACTCAAAGCTGCGACGCAGTACGACGGCATCTTCTCCCTACAAGTCGGGTTAGTACAAAGGGTCAGCAAAGGCCGATTGCTATTGAGAGTTGGGTTCTCATCACACACAGACAGACACAGAGACACAGAGACACAGGGACACAGAGATACAGAGATACAGAGACACAGAGACACAGAGATACAGATACACACCTTCTTGTCGAGCCACAGCAAGATTTGCTGCTCAACCAAGGCCACGGCATCTTGTACTGCTTGGCGATCTGAGCTGGTCATGGTGGCCTCCGATCCACTGCACCGTATCAAACTCACGTGAGTCGTTCAAACCAAAAACAAATCAAGCAAGAGCATGCGCTGCTCGCAGTTCAAAGGCGTACCCGTCGCTGGTGTCGGCCAAGACGTCGTCAACGTGTATGGAAACGGGGCTGCCGTGCGTGTGCGGTACGGCAGATGGCTTGGTATGGTAACGTGCGCCCATCTTGTCCAACAGACGGCAGAGGGCATCAAACAGGGCCTGGTCAAAAGGTCACACAGCAGCACAGCATCAGTTGATTGTACTGCAGCTGCTCGCTCAATAAAAACGACGGAATTAACATGAAACTTTTCGTCTTCTTCTTCTCTAAAACTAGCAGACTAGGCAAAACACACAGACACAGACACACAGGCACACAGGCACACAGACACATACAGACACAGACAGACACAGACAGACACAGACATCACACCAAAACCAAACAACAACAACAACAACAACAACAACAACAACAACAACAACAACAACAACAACAACAACAACAACAACAACAACAACAACAACAACAACAACAACAACAACAACAACAACAACAACAACAACATCAACAACAACAACAAGCAGCACGCGAACCTTGGCCGCAAAGTCGTCCATGCCGGGCAGACCATGAATGTGCAGCAGCGGTGCTAGCAAAGGTTGGGCCCAGCCAACTTCACAGGCATCCACAAAGGCCGGCTAGCCAAACATATCGAGTCCATTGAGCTCACTTGCAGGTGCCATGAAGATGGGCAGAGGTGCGAAAGCATACCAAGTAGCTAGCCGCTGTTTCGTACACTCGTTTGCACACGCGGCGCGCGCGCGTTGCGTCGCTCAAACCAGCCAGGACGCCGTTCAAACAGCTGTTTCGTGCATAAGCAATGAGTCAAGAGCTACATAATAATGAAACGAATGCTGCCAGTCGATGCCATTGCGCACCTCAACGGGCCTTCGAATTCAAACTTCAAGTCCTCGTAAGCCTCGGGCATGTCGCTAAACGGGCTGTCCGGAAACGCTCTACACAAGCCAAACCCAAACGGCCAATGCCGAGGTCAAAGTGACGGGCAAGCAACTCCCACAGCTTCACGCCTGCCTGCGTTTGAACAGGAACAAACCGAGCGTGGATGGCGCAGAGTGCTTGAACCGCTTCATGAGCCAAAGCGGCACCCATATCAAGTTCGCCCGGCGGCACCACGGCCAGAGCCATGATGGAGAGTTCAATCACCTCAATACTCAGCAAGTCAAAGTGACGCCGACAGCTGTCCAAGAGCTCTAGCAATGCCTGCCAAAAAGTCACACCGCGCTTGGTGAACAGAATAGTCGACAAGGACTTGATGCACTCCTCGCGTTTCATACCTTGGCATTGGCATTGAAAGAGGCAAGGACGTTGGTCATCACCTCGCGGGTCTCCTGTTGGCACTCTAACGATAGCTCGCCTGTGGCACAGGCAGTGAGCCGTGAGCCGCAAGCAGGTCAAAGAACTAATATTCTTCCGTTTGTCCTCTTTCAAGCAACATAGTTGCATGCTACGTACGGTGTTGCGAGGTATAATGGCGAAGCCAAGCCAAATGGCCCAAGCTGTGACGTAGCATCAGGGCAGCTGGTCGCACCACCCTGTACATTGATCGGACGAAGGTCAGCCCAGTGACCGAGGAGGGTCATCCAATGAGGTTGCGGAAACAAAAAATTGGGCGAGAGTGTCCCTCTCTCCGATCAAGAAAAACGTACGCATTGTCGTGCTGCATGAGGCTGGCCCCAAGAATGGCATCCAGACAAGGGTAGTGAAACCAGCGGATGACATCAGACAGCAGGGGCAAGATGGCAGCAGCCATCCGCTGCAGCTCAAACTGCTCCAGATGCATGCATTCAAAGGTTTGCGCCGCAATGGAGAACAGCACATCCGGAAGCTCGCAGAAGCGGGAGGTATCCACCCAGACCGGGAGGTCGAGCGTGACAGAACTGCGACGACGATGGCGACGAGGGGTGTTGGGCCGAGACTGTGAGTCCAGGTCTCCGGAGATAGGGCTCATCATCACCCCTTCCGCTTGATCTACAAATCGAGCCGGGGATGCCCACGCCTCAAACGAGCTTCGGCCAACGCTGCCGGCCACAGTTGTTTCATCAAGCTGCAGGTCCAGGTCGCGAAGCTGCATAATGAGCGAACTTGGCGCGACATCTGTAGCGGCCAAGAGTGAGAAGGTGGCTTGCAATCGTTTCTTGCGAGAAGGTGAAGTGAATGGCTGGGCCGTATCCGTGGTCTGAGCTTCTTGCAGAGACTTGTTGAGAAACTTGCTGCGTTGGGTGGGGCGGCGGCCAACGGAGCGTCGCTGCAAGCGCGGGGAAACCATCACTCCTGCGCAGGGGAAGAGAAATTGCAAGCATCGGAGCGTGGTCCACAGGATGAGAGAGGGAGAGCGGGAAAGGGAAAGGGGGAAACTGAGGAGCGGTCTTCATCATACCGGTCATGTTCGCATGAGAACCTTGGCTGCCAACACTAATGCCGCGCGCCCGACGCATAGGGCCATCTTGCTTGCCGAGCTAACAAGGCGAAGACACGCCAAACATGATATCAATTCCCTGACGCGCTTGTAACCGACCGTAATCGATGTGATGCAAACGTACCAGGGGGGACAAATCGTTGCGCGCAGAGGATCCTCCATTTGGAAGCGCAGGGGCAGTGGTCCGGGAGGGTGACAGCGAGAAGCGCGAGTTGCCAAGCCGCGGCTGAGAAGTCGTGGCCGCATGTCATCGAGCGAGGTGGGGTGAGCTTGAAGAAAGGCCCCCAAAAAAAAGCGCAATCGAAAGTTTTTGGGATCGAAACTTCATTTACCTGAGATCCGCCACCACTCGTTAAAACTGCCGGAGGCGAACGAAGGCGCGTCAAAAGATCAAAGGAGGCAGTTAACGGCGCATCGCCTATGTTGGTCAAGATTGGCAAAAGCGTGACAAGAACATCAAAAAAAAAATGACAGCACGAGAGGAGGCTAAACAAATGGGAAAACTGTGCGCTCGAGGCCAGCGCTGTTCATACCACGATCACCATGCTGAGACGTGGGCCGAGAGCTGCGTATCGTGTGGCCAGGGCACATGCAAGGTTTCATCAATGCAAGGTATGCTAGGGCGCAAGCAAGCAGATAAACGCAGGAGCGCTTTGGTTGCGCATGCAAAAACGTACTGTCCGCGCAGCGGTCGCAAAAACATCTTGTCCAGCAGCCTGTGAGGTTGTACATATTAAAAATGGACATGAGCCACGAGGAGAAATAAGAGTTGAGCCCACAGCAAAAGGCAGTACGAAACTACGCCGGCCACAGCCTCCAGGTTACTGACCGGGCGGGGCGCGCAATCGGGGCAGCGAGTTGGCCGGGAGTGAAGATGGCATATTGATGATCCATGAGCATGGTGGGAAAGAGGTAGTTGATATGGTTGCTGATGAGAAAGCGCAAGATGAGGTCATAGGCAAGCAGGCGGCCTTCCTTGGCCTCCCAAGCAAGCGAGGGCAACGGTGCTTCGGCCACGGCCGATACTGCCGTCTTAACCGGCCAGTGCGCCGTCAGTCCTTGAAGCACCAGCTTGGATATGATGGGGTTTGATGCATCGCGGGCAATGATATGTTTGAAAACTAGGCTGCAGGCTTGCCGCACAGTTGACGCCGGATGTCCTAGATAGAACTTGAAGGTGCGGAAATAGGCTGGCCAATTGGGCAACAAAAACCCCGGGGGCAGTTGCTTAATGATGGTGACGCACACGTCAAGCAAGCCTTCTGCCTCAAAGTGTGGAAGATATCGGTATCGATCTTCGTCGTCAAGATGCTGCAGTTTGGCCACAAGGTCGTCAAGCACTACGAGGCCACGTTCGACTTTGCTGCGCGACAGATAGCCGGCGAAGGCCTTGCTGGCATTCTCTCGCACGGTCAGCTGTTGGTGTTTGAGCAAGTGATTGCAAATTTTGGGCAGCGTCTCTTCGATGATGCTGGGTAAGCCATGTGGCAACACATCAGAGCCGTACTAGAATGCACGCAAGGTATCATGCCGGGTTAGGGCGTGGGTGGGTGCGCGCGCGTGCCTAAGAGGCGAGTGGAAGAGGCGAGAACAGCAACAGGTTTGGATGGACGAGAAACGTACACAAAGCAGAAATTGAGCATCTCCAGAGCGACGGGCGCCAGTCATAGCCCCAGAATCATCTGAAAGACGCTTGCGCATATCGGGCTTGAGGGTCGTGAAAGGAACCCAAACAAACTACGGGAAGACGTGACACATTGCGAGCATGAGAAAAAAAACAGCGAAGGATTGTGACGTGCATGCTGTAGCTTGAAAGGAGAGGAGTCACCTTGCGCAGCAGATTGGCAATGCCAAGCAGGGCACCATCCACTTCCTGCCATGTGCTTTCTTCCTGCAAACCATGGGCGTTTGAAAGGCGTTGTCGGATGAGAAACAAGGTAAATGCGTGAAAGGACCGGGGTTGTTTATACATCAGGAGAACATACTTCGCAGGCCTCGACAAGTGCTTCATAAAACTTGAGGAGCTGAGCTAGAGTAAACTGGCCAAGGACATTGCCCATGCTACGAGAAATGGGAGCCGCACATGGGTGAATCAAGGGTCGGCAAACCGAGAAAGATCGGATGCATGTGCTCACACGTGTGCACGGCAGGCGGATATTGGGATGTCAACTATGCAACGTACCGAACGGCCGAAGCCTTGCGGATGGCCGACCAGACATCGGTGACACAGAGTAACAGGAGTTGCTATTGACGCAGATACGAGATTGGGGATGAGAGTGGCCAGTCGGAGCCAAGATGACTCGGGGGCCGTGCCAACTTGTGAATCCATCCTACCTCAACAGCATCTGAGACTTGAGAGTTCAGCTCGGCTCCAGCGGTAAGTCCACGCTGGCACCATTCGAGGCAGTAGCTGGCGACATACTGACGGGCCGTGGCAAACGCGCGAGCTAGAAGAAGAAGATAAGGCAGGACGGGCATGGGTATGAATATGAGCCAACGTATTGTAGGAGAAGACGTCGAGCAACTGATGGAGGTGGCAAGTTGTTTCCGGCAGGACTGACCTTCTACCATGGCAATGCACATAGCTTGAGCAATGTCCAAGCTGATGGGCAACCGCATGAGCCTGTTTGGTGAAAAGGGGATCGGGTGACGGGTGAGGCAAAGCGCGGAAAGCCACAGGTTTAGGTCAGCAGGCGGAGAGGGGTACAAGATAATGGGAGCGTACGCGCGCAGTATGGCATCGATGAAAGCCTTCATCATTTGCACGGCCTCGGCATCTGACTCCACTTGAGGTCTGGGTCGCCCTGTCAAGGCTGACAGAGATCCACGACGCTGGCCTAGTACCTAAGGAGGGAGAGCAAATTTTAAAAGGATGGGTAATGAGCCTGTTTCAAGGAAAACTGACGCTACCCCAACGGCCGCCTTTCACGTGTCACATGTCTTTTGGCCCAGGCATGTTGCGGGTTTATCATACCGTGCCCTTTGGGCCCTGCAGAAGGGCGTCTGGCATGGCGGTGCGATCGTGGCCCAAGACGAAGAGGGCCAGCAAGAGATGACCGAGGGTCTTGGCTGTGAGCTCGGAGCCATGGGCATCGGCACACATGTCCAAGAGCAGGTGGGGTGCCAGTTGGCTCGTCTACATTCAGAGCAAGATGGGTTGGTTGTCCAAGTGAGAGGCGTTTTCAGGCCGTGTGTCGGGGGACAGAAGCTGCCTGTTTCCAAGGGTGGTTCGGACACGCACAGTCGACAGCGGTTTGGAGGCAAAGTTTGGCCCGAGGGGCGAGGCCCGATCAAGCTCATCATTGCTCTCTTCCGAGTCTTCGGTTCGCAAAGCAGAGAAGAGGCGTTTGATGATAACGCGCTCGCGGGCCAGTTGTGGCTGAGCCAGGTTCAGATCACACACGGCACGCACTGCAGCCCCCATGGCGCTGGGACTGAGGCCTGGCAATCAGAGCGGGCCGTGCGGCTAGAAGCCCCCCTCAATGCGGGGAAGCGTGGTTCGTTGACATCCAAGATGCCCGGTCCTTCTTTGCCAGTTAAAGAATTTTTTTTCCGCACGCGCGCGGCGCCCACGCGGGCACGTGTCACTGGTCGCCTTCTGCACACGATCGGGGGGTTTGGTCGATGGGCAGGGGCGCAGGCATGAGCTTGCGAGGGCGCAGCTTTGACACAAGCGCAAGCACCTCCACCAACCAGAGCCAGGTCGCACTCGTGCGCGTCGCTGGATACGTGCGATGAAGGCATGCGTCGTCCGATCCGACCTCTCTACGCCAAGCCAGCAAAGGCGAACAAGCCCATCAGGCAAGCAGGCTGCCCAAAGAGCACCCCGGTCACACACACACACACACACACACACCAGGCGCACCTGCGCGCGTACACTGACCAGCGACGAGAGAGAGTGGAGAGCTTTTTGGGAAATAAGAGCTTTTGAGTGAGAGAGAGAGAGATGAACTGAGAGAGAGAGAGAGAGAGAGAGAGAGA